CAGTTTATTGTCAGGTGTAAATATCTACAATCAAGCCCATATCTTAAACAGTTAAGGACTACCAGCAGAGGATTCTGCTCAGGGTGGCGGGATAGTCACTTCTGAAAGAGGGGGGGGCTGTTGTTTCAGCTGCTGTCTCTTGCCCTTTCCCTTGTATGATCTCGTTTTCTCACTTAACTGTGAGGTTGAAGGAAGACCTTTTTTTTTTAGGACTTTCCAGTGAAAAAAGAACTTGTAAGGTTACCTACGCAGCTCAATATATTCTTACCTCAGATCAATGCATATACATGCAGCATTTTGCTTTGGCCATTTCGTTTTCTGCACCAAAATTAGCATTTTTAAGAAGCCCCTTTATTTAATCTTCATGCTGCACTGCTGCATTGTAGACAGTTTTTGGCCATGACCTTTTAAGCAGAATCTGCCCCACCTTTCCTTTTTACTACTGTAGTGGGATTGGTTATCCTCCCGCAGCAGAGTGTCACAGAGAGCTTGTCACAGATATCTTTGATTTATGCCAAATACTGAAGCGTGGTCTGCCCTATGTTATTCCACGCCACAACGCAAGAGAGACAATCAGGAACTAGCTATGGGTCTAGATACGGCCAAGGCAGTGAGGAAGTGGGGGCACGTTTTTGCAACAACGGAGGGACATGAGGGCAAAAAAGAGCGGGGATCCAGGTGGAAAGAGGGTCCCAGCGTTCTCACGCACCTCGCTCTTCTAGCTGGTGCAACTTCACGAGTCATTTTCCGCAATGGCGGTCATACAAACAAAACAAGCCGGTAAGATGCCAAACAGGAAATACGCATAATGTAGAGCGGATGTAGATTTGACCAATCAGAGGCCTTTTGTCTGCGGTCATCTACAATTTTGGAAAGGTGCAGCAGAGTGTTTGTGGAAGGGGCGGGGGCACATTTACGTTCACTGTGACACACGCAGACGACCTGGTTTCTGAGTATAAATCAGGTTTTAGGCTGAAGTACATCAACCGTAGCTTAGTGATTTTTACGCCTGGTGGAGGAAGCGGTATCTGGGACACTCCCGACATCACTGGGTCCAGCATTGGTTTGGAATTGTGTTGTTTTAACAGAAGCTGGTTCCTCTGATACAACAATAGATTTGCGGTTTTATCCAGTAATCCATATTTGGAACATTTTAAAGGTTAGAGACATTAAACATGATAACCACTAGTTGGCTTACCCAAAACAAAGCTGTGTTCTAAGCGAAGAAGAAGAAAAACGAAAAGATGAGTGTGCACCACCGAGTATCAGAGATGTTCTTCGTCTAAATCCGAAAACGTCCAAATTGGTAGCTACATGTTGCCATGATTTTCTAAGTGGGAATTTCCTACAGGATAAAAACCAGATTTGGGGGATATTAAATAACAGACCATAACATTGGAGGGACAATATTTTTGGATATTAAAAGCTTTTATTTTATTGGTTGGCATGCGCTTCATGCGCAGATTAACATCCAGAGGCCATTGCATGATATCATGTGAAACCCATAAACTGCAACTCCCTCCATTTGCCATCCAATGTTAATTCTTTAATTTTATTTGTTAATAAATATTAATATAATCTGTACTGTCATCAACTTTTAAGACCTCTATCTTTTAATAACTAGTTTGCATCATTTTGTCTGATACAGCGTCTTGACTTACTGCTCGACGGGGGTTAAAACAAGGAAAACAAAGAAACAAATCAAGGCAGTTTTAACATTGAACATCAATTTTCATCTTTTGCTAAGGCTTTTGTGGATTTCTGGTTCCTTTACAGTTATTTTTTTTTTTTTGCAATCTGTGCATGCTTCTAGACCTCACAGCACAACAGCTTAGAGTGCTTGCCTTGTAGAGTAGAACTGATACAATTTGCAGGCAATTATGGATCAAATCAGAACAGACAAGAGCCAGGGTAATTTATCCTGAATACAAATAAAGACACATACTTCTCATGATGACAGTAGAGCTGAAACAATTCATTGTGATTAATCGATTATTAAAATAATCAATTAATTTAGTAATCCATAATTGATTGATGGACTTTATTGATCGTTAACTGTAGTGTAGAGACTCTAAAAAATGCCTATAGCTGACAGAGCAACCCACTTAGAGCAGTAATGTATCAAAATTGTAAAAAAAAATATGCAAACATCTTGCATTTAAGATTAAAAAAACTTTTTCTCCGGTCAATCCGCTCTATCCAGAACTCCTCAAGAGGAAAAATTTTAGTTTCTCCTTGTTCAATACTGTAAAATAAATTATTTAAGGAACATTTAGCTATCCGACAATTAATCGATTAGATGACAGAATAAAAACAAAGTAGTGCACAGAGTACTGAGTTATGTGTAAGTTTAGAAAAAAACCCAAATCTTTCCAGATATCTTATGGTAAGGTTTTTTCAAAGGCTTTTTTCATTATTAAAAAAGCGCTTTATTCGAAAGCGTGTAATGTTAAGAAACACAAACTATTGTACAATTTACTGGATTGATAATATTCCTATCTTGGTTTATAGCATTATAGAAACAAAAAATGCAAGAAAAATAAAGTTTTTATTCACTGTGATTAACTATAAAACTGTTTCACCCTGATACATTCAAAATGTGTCTTGAAAAATGTCTGAACATTTATAAAATTTATATAAAATGGAGACTAAATAAATCTGACAAAGTCAGAACTCATGTATGATAGTCTTTGAAAAATGTAGGTGGTGCCTTTAAAGGCTGCACCCACTGCCACAGAAGAAGAAAAAAACGCAATGACTTACAAGCGCACCATGTGAGCAGTGTATGAGAGATGTGGGGGAGGTGAAACAACTAACAGGGCTGTACCATCTTCCAAAAGGTAAAACAACGGTCCAATTTAGATTCACTCGAGAACCAATCAGTTTGAAGTACCAGGACTGTGAAGACGGAGTTCAGTTGTGAGAACTGACTCTGTGCTCTTTCACTTTAATGTGGTTCAAAGGCTTTTTTTGAGCATAAGCCACTGCTGTTCCCATGAGAACCATGTAGTCACAAATTTACACATAAGAAATAAAAATCTACCCTCATAAACAAACAATATGTATATATTAACATAAAATAACAGACAAAACTGCTTGGCCTTAGCTCTACCATAGAGATTAAGCCCCACCCACTTTTCAAGGCAGTGTGCTTCATGGAAAATTACTGGACTGTACCACTTTAGTCCTAAAGGGGGGCCTCAATAGCATGCAGTGACATGCTACTTCTTCCTCAAATTTTTTTGCCCATGTTTACTTCAACATAGAGGCTTTTAGTTGTTTTTGATTTTCTGTTTGTGTATATTAAAATACATTAAGATGCACCCTTTGTTGACTTTGAACCAAAATATAGAGAAACATGTTTTCACACATGAATTGGGAAAGTTAGAAAAAAAAAAAAAAGGAAAATCACTTATTTTTATACCCCATTAGTTTTAAGCTAGAAATGCACATGCCAACTCTGTTTTTTTTGCTCTTTTTGCTTAACTGTAACCTCTGCAGTGAGCTGGTTAGGATTACAGCTTGGTTTTGAACCAACACCTCTAAACCGCAATACTGACTTCACATGACCGAGTCTTTACATTTTAAAATGAAAGACAATTATATCAGTTATATCCAGCAAAATAACAAACGCTGTAAAGGCAAAGGTGTAAAACAACAGAGTCCATAAGCAATCCTCCACAGTGCATCTGTTGAAAGATAGCTGGCATACACGAGTATGCGTTAATGTTTCAAAAAATAATACCATGACCAAGATTCACCTCATTGTAAGATTATATAATCAAATACAAAACATTTAACTGTGAAAACAATCAGTTATCTGCCCCGCACAGGTAGCAAAAACTGCCCATCTGCCCAGACTAAATTTTTGAGTGATAGGCTCTGCCCCAAGCTTCTAAGTCAAAAAGCCAAATTATAATTTTATATTCATTAAATTCAATAACAACACATGTCATCTAGAGGCACTTTACAAAGACAATTCAACCAGATCATACAGTCAAATTAGTAAAAATTGTTCAATCTAAAGAAAAGCAGCAAATTGATTCGACTTATTGACTCGAAAGCAATCCCTCTAAAAAAAAAAGACAAATTATCTCTTAAATGCAAATTAAATGTAAAAAAATGCTTTAGAATAAATTTTTATCTCCAAGAAAAAAGAAATGTGATTAACGTCGAAGCTACGATGTCTACATCAATTTATCGTGTCATGACTGCAAAATTTTTAAAAAGATTTGAAAAACACCTAAAACTGTAAAATGTCCCAACATATAAATAACTGTAAAACTTAGTTGAATAAAACAAAACTAACAAAAGCATATGCCAAAAAAAATATTTTCTTTGGAATAGGCTCCACCCCCAAATTCCACCCCTTTTTTCCCCCCTCAGCTATGTAACTATAAATACACCAAGTATGAAAAGTATAAATATATATATATATATATATATATATATATATATATATATATATATATATATATATATATATATATATATAAAATAAAGGCATTAGAGGAAAATG